CCAAGTATAGGTTTAACATAAGCACAATCAGGCATTCTCAGATTCTCATTGTCCTCAAGGTTAGCCACTGTTTGTTGTGATCCACGGAGTTAATGCCTTTACATAATCAGTGAAACACAGACATTCCTCTGGTAGTCTTTGCTTTGTGTCAAGATCCATCTGACATTGGCAATAATGTCTCTAGTACCACAGCCTCTTCTAAACCCAGCTTGTATTTTTGGTAGTTCTCTTATTGTATTGTTCCAGTTGTTTGTGGATAATCTTCAACAGCATTTTGTTTGCGTGTGATATTAGTGATATTGTCTGATAATTTTCACACTCTGTTGCTGTGTTTATGTGCTGTCAGGTCACTTGCGACTCATACTGACCCTAAAATAACCCTAAACCTAAACCTTGCTCTATCCTGTGCCAATCTTACTGTTTTCTGATATACCTACCCCCATTACCCAAGTCACTGAATCAGTCTCTCTCATAGAGGGTCTTCCTCTCTTGCACTGTCCCTCCACCCTCCCAAGCATGACATCCCTCTCCAAGGATTGATCCTACCTTGAAACATGTCCAGAGTATGTGAGACAAAGCTTCAGAATCCTTGGCTCCAAGGAGCAGCCTGGCTTCACCGTCTCCAGGATGAACCTGGTTTTTCTCCTATCAATATATATTCATACATTCAATACTCTTCTCTAGCACCACACCTCAAAAGCATCAATTCTCCTATCTATCATCCCTAGTCATTGTTCAGCTTTCTGATGCATAACAAGTAATTGCAAAGACCATAGCCTGTACCAGGCTCACTTCAGTCTCCATACTGACATTGTTGCTCTTTAGTACTTTGGAGAGGTCTCCGAGAGCAGACTTTCCCAATGCAATTTGTCTTTTTTTTTAGATTTTATTTTAATAATTTTAATGAACATTTGCAGAGATTTTGGATTTCCATTCATTCATTGTTGCACTTTTCTCCCTGCCCAGCCCTCCCCCCGCCCCCCGCTTCCCCCCTCTCTTTGAAAAGTAAAAGAAAAATTCTTTCTTTGGTATACAATTCCCCCCGCACCCCTCCCACCTCCCCAGGTACACTCCACTATGCAACCTTAATTGTGGACTCTTGTGATAACATAATACCCTATCATACATTGCTTTTAAATTTTTCTTTCCCTCATCTGTTTCATTGCAGTATATGCAGTTTATCCAGTTTTTCTCAGTCTCTCCCCAACCCCAAGATCAGTCCTATTCTACAACAGTGGCACCATGCAATATTTGTCCTTTTGTGACTGGGATATTTCACTCAGCATAATGTTCTCCAGAGTCAACCATTTTGAATAATATTGCATGAGTTCCTTGTTTTTCAATGCAGCATAGTATTCCATTGTGCGAATATACCACAGCTTCTCTAGCCATTCGTTTGTTGATGAGCACTTAGGTTGTTTCCAACTCCTTGCTATTGTGAACAAAGCTGCAATAAACATGGGTGTGCATATATCTGCTTGGATGTCAGTTATGGTCTCTTCGGGGTATATTCCCAGTAGTGGAATTGCTGGGTCAAATGGTATCTCTATCTGCAACTTTTTGAGAAAGTGCCATTTCCTCTAAGTTTTCATATTTGTTTGAGTATAGTTTTTCATAATACTCTAATGTTAGCTTTTTTATTTTAGTTGGTTCTGTTGTGTTGTTGCCTGATTCATCTCTTATTTGGATTGTGTCCTCTCCTTTTTTTCTTTTGTGAGTTTTGGTAATGGTTTGTCAATTTTATTGACCTCAAAGAATCAATAGTTTCAATTGTTTTTTGGTTTTCTATTTCATTTATTTTTGCTCTAATTTTTATAATTTCAGTTTTTTTAGAGGGTATCGGGTTTTCTTGCTGTTCTTTTTTAATTTGCTGAAGATGTTGGGTTAGAGAGTCAATGGTCAAGTTTTCCTGCCTTTTGATGTGTTTGCTTATTGCTGTAAATTGACCTTTGATTACTGCTTTGGCTGTTTCCCAGAGTAAGTAGTGTTTTCATTGTCATTTGTTTCAAGAAACTTTTAAATTTCTTCTTGTACCCAGTCATGTGCAAGTAAGTTGTTGTTCTGCTTTCAAATATATGATCTTTTTTCTTCTTTATTCTCATTGTTAATTTCTAATTTTGTGGTGTTGTGGTCTAGAAGATACTTTGTATAATTTCTATGTTTTTGAATTTGTTGATGCTTGCCTTGTGACCTAGAATGTGATCTATTCTGGAGAATGTTCCAGGAACATTGGGAAAGAAGGTATATTGTGCTTTTTTGGAGTGCATTAGCCTATAATTATCTATGAGATTGAGTTTGTTTATTGTGTGGTTTAATTTTTGAGTGTCTCCTTATGACTCAGGGTGAAGTCTCTCTCAGGGAGGAGTGATAGGGAATGGCAAAGGATACACTGACAAAGAAGATTAATCAGAACTGGCTTTGACAAGCACTGTGGCGTTTGGACAAGAACAAACTGGGAGGAGGGTAGAGAGAATAGTGCAACAATGAGTGAGTGGAGGCCCAAAATCTCTGTAAATGTTTATGAAAATTAATAAAATATAATTATAGAAAAAAAAAATTTTTGAGTGTCTTTGTTGAGATTCTTTCTGGTAGTTCTATCTTTTCTTGAGAGGTGTGTTTTGAAATCTCCAAGTACTGTAGTATTGTTGTCTATTTCGTTTCTCAGTTTTGTTAATCTTTGTTTTATGTATTTTTCTGGTCTTTGATTTGGTGCACTGATATTCAGTATTGTTATCTCCTTTTGTTCTATTGACCCTTTGAGCATTATGTAGTGACCTTTGTCTTTTGTGATGGTTTTTGCATTGAAATTTACTTTATCAGAGATTAGTATCGCTACACCTGCTTTTTTTTTTGTTTTTTTGGTTGCCATTTGCTTGGTATATTTTTTCCCCCATCCTTTTATTTTTAGTCTTTATCTTCATTTTTCAGATATGTCTCTCATAGGAAACATATTGATGGATTGTTTTTTTTATCCAATCTGCTACTCTTTTTCTCTTCAGTGGTGCATTTAAACCATTCTCATTCAATGTGATTATTGAGAGGTAAGGTTTTATTGGTATCATTTTATTAAATTCTTTGTGGTGTTGTTGCTAGTTACTTTATTCCATCCTATTTTCTGTGGCATCTCTGTATGAAGGACGTCTCTCCTTATTTCCGGTAAGGCAGGTCTTGCTTTTACAAAGTCCTTTAGTTTCTGTATTTCTCGGAATATATTGATCTCTCTTTCATATATTATGGACAGTTTTGTTGAGTATAATATTCTTGGTTGACAGTTGGCGTTCTTTGAGCATTTGATATATGCCATTCCTTTGTCTTCTTGCTTGCATGGTTTCTGCTGAGAAATCGGCACTTAGTCTATCTGCTCTCTGTTAGAGGTTACTCTGTTTCTCTCTCCCTTCTTTCAGAATTCTCTCTTTACCTTTGGTTCTGGCTAATTTGACAATGATGTACCTTGGTGTTTTTCTTTTAGGGTCTATTCTATATGGTGTTCATTGAGTTTCTTGAACATATATTCTCTCATTTTTTTTTATAATGCCTGGGAAGTTTTCCTCTAGTAATTCTTTCACAACTTTTTCAATGGCTTTACTTGCTTCTTCCTTTTCTGGGATTCTGATGATGTGAATATTATTTCTTTTAATGGTATCCCACATTATTCTTAGGTTTTCTTCTGTTTCCTTATTTTTTTATTCTGCTTTTTGTTCAGTCAGATCTGTAATGATAATTCTGTCTTATTTCACTGATTCTGTGTTCCACCTCTTCCGCTCTGTTTGTGTGTCCCTCCATCATATTGACAGCATCAGAAACCTTAGACCTCATATTTTGGATCATAGTTTCTTGTTTTTGCAGTGTCTCTAATGCCTCGTTTGTTTTATCAGCATTGTCGTGGATTGTTTTTTTTAAGCTCTTCTTGATTTTTGCTAGCAGTGTCCTGTAATTCATCAAGTTTGTTTTTCATCCTTTGAAAATATTCACTCATTGTTCTTTTAAATTCTGTGTCAGAAAAATCCCATCAGGCTTTCTGGCTTCAGGAAATCCATTGGTGCTGTATCTTTTGGGTGGTGATACCTTGCTTTGGCTTGTGAGACAAATGAAGTATCTTGCGTCTTTTGGGGCATTGATGTGGTAGAGTTTTTCGTGTCTGAGGTGGTAGCTGGGTTTGATGTGATGTCACTGCTCCAGGAGAAGGTTGGGCAGGAACATGAGCAGATGGATGTAGGGTGTGTGCATACTTTGATGCTCGCGTGAGTAGGGAGGGATGAAGCACACACTGATACAAGCAGGGAGGGGTACAGCAGAACCTAAATAATGAAGGAGGAGGTCTACTGTTCCCTTTCTGAAGTGGCTTCCCTCCTCTTTGGAGATGCCCAGTATCTCCCTGTTTGAGTTAGGGGGCCCCACATGGCCAGGCCAGAAATCAATTTGTTTCGCCAAATAACTTAATCCTCAGTGGTACATGAGTTTTTCAGGGGAAGCAGGGATGGGGCGGGTGTGGCAGCACCCTGGCCCGGCTCTCCCTTGTCTGTACTTGCAGGCTTCCCGCCAAAATAAAAGTTTTTAAAGATAGTGTCTATAATGTATTTTTTGAAGAAAAGTATTCAGTTAAACTGATAGGCTATCTATTGCATATGGTATATATTCTTTTCTGGGGTCAAAATATAATTCCTGGGATAGATTAAGTAAGGTACGTAGTGAAAAGATACTATAGAATGCAATGCGAGGAAGCTATGGTGGCCTAGTGGCAAGAAGCTGCACTACAATCCCAGACGTGTGCGGTTCACATCCACTAAATGCTCTGCTGTGGGTGAAGGAGGGGCAATCTCCTGTAGTACCCAGATCCAATTTGATGCTATACACACAAAAAATACTAAAATTAAAAAAAAAAATGCAATGTAAGCAATGATGTTTTGATTTTATGCCATGGTTCTAAATTGGAGATCATTTAATGCGTCTCTTTTCTGGAGCCACATAAATTATACTTGGTGAATCTCTCTTTCTTTCAGAGATAGAGCTGCCTGCTTTGCCATTCAGAAAGGATTACAGGCATCACGTAGTGATATTAAGTTATTTAAACATAATGATATGAGTGACTTGGAACGACTCCTAAAAGAACAAGAGATTGAAGATCAAAAGGTATGATTCTTTTGAAGAAAATTACACAGTTCTTGTGTACTTTCTAACCTGCTAAATTTTTTATGAAATAGTAATTTGCCATAAAAACTTGCCTGCAGATCACATTTGGATATTAAGTAAAAATATTCTGCTTATTAAATTTGCTTATAGAGCCAAGCCTGATTGTAATTGCCTTGTTGTCATAATTGCTTGCACATAACACATTTTGGGGTAAATATCTAGGAAGTATTTTTTTTTTTAAAGAGAAAATAATAGCATACACTTGGAAAGCAGGGGAGATGCATACTCTTTAACTATATAGTACAAACAACACTCAGTAAGGCTTTAAAGAGATATTCTAGCAAATTAAAAATAGTGCATTCATTAACTGAGGGAAAGGATAGCGACAGGTGTTAATTTATTAATTTATGACAAGATATTCATACTACACCTCCATTAGTATTGTTGTTATTTGCCATTGAGTCACCTGCAACTGATAGTGACCCTCTGTACAATAGCCCTAAACCCTGAGCTATCCTGTGCTGATCTTATTGTCTCTGACACACCCCCATTGTTCCAGTCACTGAATCAATCCATCTCACTGATGGTCTTCCTCTCTTGTGCTGTCTATCCACCCTCCTAAGCAAGACATCCCTCTCCAAGGATTGATCCCACCTTAAAACATGTCCAAAGTATGTCAGACAAAACTTCAGAATCCTTGCCTCCAAGGAGTAGCCTGGCTTCACCCTCTCCAGGACGAACCTGTTTGTTCTCCTAGCAGTCCATGATATATTCAGTACTCTTCTCCAGCGCCGCAGCTCAAAGACATCTTTTCTTCTATCATCCCTAGTCATTGTCCAGCTTTCTGATGCAAAGCAAGTAATTGCAAAGACTATGGCCTGGATCAGGCACACCTTAGTCTCCAGAATGACATCGTTGCTCTTCAGTACTTTGGAGAGATCTCTAACAGCAGACTTTCCTAATGCAATTTGCCTTTTAATTTCCTGGCTGCTCATATTGAGAGAGTTGCTTGTGGAGCCAAGGAAACCTGTTAACAATCTCAATCTAAATCTCATCACTATCTGTCATGATGCTGCCACATACCCAATGGTGAGAATCTTTGTGTTCTTTATATTGGGCTTCAGTCCATATTGAAAGCTCCAGTCCTTGACCTTCTGCAGCAAGCACTTTTGGTCCTCCTCAGTTTCAGCAAGCAGGGTGTGTCATCGGTATAACACAGATTGTTTATGAGTCTTCCTCCCATCCTGCTGTGACATTTTTCCTCATAGAGCCTAGCCTTCCAGATAATCTGTTCTGTGTATAGATTGAAAAGGTATGGAGATAGGACACATTCCTAGTATACACCCTTTTTTTGAACCATGCATTGTTTTCTTCCTCTGTTCTGAAGACTGCCCCTTGGTTCAAGTATAGGCTTCGCATAAGCACAATCAAGTGTTCTGGAATTCATATTCTTCTCAGAGTCAGGCATAATTTGTTGTCATCCACACAGTCAGATGCCTTTGTACACTCACTGAAACACAGATAGGCATTCCTCTGGTACTCCCTTCTTTCAGCCAAGATCCATCTAACTTTAACTATAATATCTATTAGTATTATGTTTTAAGATTGTGATTATAGAGAGGAAGTATGTTCACAGCATCTGTGATTCAAATTACAGGGTTTTTTTTCCTTCTATGCATGACACTAAGTAAAGTATCATGCAAACAGGTGACTTGCTTCATTCCCTGGCCTACAATCAGATCCTAGATTAGTAGGAAACCACATCTGGTATACATGACAATTAGAAAAAGAACAGTGACGAAAGCCTACAGTGTCCAGGTGAAAAGGGGCAGTAAACCTAGGGGCACAAATAAATGAAAATTTTAAAACCAATAGAATTAATAATACTAGAAGTTGTTTCTTTGAAAGAATTTATAAAATTGCCAAATATAAAAAAGGAAAAGCAGAAAAGGCACAGATAACTGGAATAAGCAATGAAATGGGTAATGTTACAACAGAACCATTTGAAAGAAAAAAGATAACAGAAATTATCCTATGTAGATTCACCAAATATTTGAGCAAATTTGAAAACCCAAAGGAAATGACCAAATTCTTAGAAACACTTTGCTACCTAAAGTAACACAGGACAGAAATAGAATATTTGAACAGTCCAAAAGAAAAAATTTAATAGGTCATAAAAATACCCTTAACAAACAAATTCCAGCCCAAATGGCTTCACTGGTGAATTCTACCAGACACTCAAAGAAAACCTAATACCAATTCTACTCTTTCAGGATATAGAAAGAGATGGAATACTTTTGAAGTCATTCTACGAAGCAGTCATAACCATAAATATACCACTTGGGGGAAAAAATGGCTAATGTCCTTCTTGAACGTGAATGTAAACATTCTAAACAGAATCTTAGCCAGTAGCGCCAAGCATTGTATCATAATGATCAAGTGTGACTTATTTCATTAATGCAAGGATGATTCAACATAAGGAAAACAATCCTAATTAACCACATCGATAAAATAAAGAACCACATGCTCATCTCAGCTGATTCAGAAAGGGGTATTTGAAAAAATTCAACACTCTTTCTTAATAAAAATACTCAACAAAAAAGGATTAGAATTATTTCTTCAATATAACTAAAAGCATATATACCAAACCAGCAACAATTGTTGTTGTTAATGTGCCCTCGAGTCGCTTGTGACTCATAGCGACTCCATGTATAACAGCCCTAAACCCTGCTTTATCCTGCACCAATCTCACTGCCTCCGATACACCCATCCCTTTTACCATAGTCACTGAATCAATCCACCTCATAGAGGGCCTTCCCCTCCTGCCCTGTCCCTCCACCCTCCCAAGCATGATGTCCCTCTCCAAGGACCGGTCTTTGCTTAAAACATGTCCAGAGTGTGTCAGACAAAGCCTCAGAATTCATGCCTTCAAGGAGCAGACTGGTTTAACCCTCTCCAGGATGAACCTGTTTGTTTTCTTAGCAGTCCATGGTACCTTCAGTATTCTTCTCTAGTACCACAGCTCAAAGGCATCAATTCTCCTACTATCCTCTTTAGTCATTGTCCAACTCTCTGACGCATAACAAGTGATTGCAAAGACCATGGCCTGTCTCCAGAGAGAAATCATTGCTCTTCACTACTCTGGAGAGGTCCCTAACAGCAGACTTTCCCATTGCAATATGTCTTTTAATTTCTTGGCTGCTGGTTCCAAGAGTGTTGACTGGGGAGCCAAGCAAATTAAAGTTGTGAACAATCTCAATCTCTTCACCATCCATCCTGATGCTGCCAATTGGCCCAGTGGTGAGAATCTTTGTCTTCTTGACATTGAGCCTCAATCCATATTGAAGGCTGCAGTTTTTTACCCTCTGCAGCAAGTGCTTCAGGTCTTCCATAGTGCAGATTGTTGATAGATCTTCCACCAATCCTGATACCACACTTCTCATAGAGCCCAGCCTCTCGTATAATCTGTTCTGCATACAGATTGAAAAGGTATGGAGACAGGACACATCCCTGGCTTAAGCCCTTCCCAATTTTGACCTATGCAGTATTTCCTTGCTCTGTTCTGATGACTGCCTCCTGGTCCAAGTAAAGGTTTCACATTAGCATGATCAGGTGTTCCAGGATTCCCATTGTTCTCAGAGTCAGCCACAGTTTGTTATGATCCACACAGTCAAACGTCTTTGCATAATCGATGAAACACAGATAGACATTCCTCTGGTATTCCCTGCTCTCAGCTAAGACCCATCTAAAATTAGCTACAATATCCTAGTACCATGACCCCCTCTAAACCCATCCTGGACTTCTGGCAGTTCTCTGCTGATGTGCTGTTCCAGTCGTTTTTGGATAATGATCAGTAGAATCTTGCTTGCATGTGAAATCAATGAGATTGTTCTATGGTTTCCACACTCTGTTGGGTCACACTTCTTTGGGATGGGAACAAATATAGATCTCTTCCAGTCAATTGGCCAAGTGCTTGGTGTCCAGATTTCTTGGCACAACTTGGTGAGCACATCCAGGGTAGAATCTGTGAGCTGAAATATATCAATTGGTATGCCATCTATTCCTGGGGATTATTGATTTTTTGCTGTTTCCTTCAAAGTAGCTTGGACTTCTTCCTTTGTCACCATAGGCTCTTGCTCATATGTTGTTTTCATTAAATTCTTCTGTGTCTTCCAGTTTCTTTCATTACAGTGACTTGTTATATTCTTTCCATCTTCTTTTAATACTTCCTGGATCGTATAATATTCTTCCTAAAGCATCTTGATGATAGCAACTCGAGGTTTGAATTTGTTCTTCATTTCCTCTAACTTAAGTAATGCTGAGCGAGTTCGGCCCTTTTGATTTTCTGACTCCAGTTCTTTGCACATTTCATTGTAATATTTTGCTTTGTCATCCTGTGTTGCCTTTTGGAATCTTCTGTTCAGCTCTTTAGTATCTTGAATTCTTCCTTCTGCTTTGACTTCTCTGCGCTCCAGTGCAATATTCAGTTTCTTCTGACATCCATTTTGGTCTTTTTTCCACTTCTGTCTTTGTAGTAACAGTTTGCAGTCTTCCTGGGTGATACCCCTTTCAGGAAGATTGAAGAATCAGTTTGAGGCATTCAATTGAGTATAAAAATAGGAAATAAAAGATACCTGAACTGTCAAAGAAGTGAAACTGTCTCTATAGATGATAATGATGTTGTTGTTAGGTGCCCTTGAATTGAGTATGACTTGTAACAACCCTATATACAACCTTGCCCTTTCTTGTGCGATCTGCATCATCTCTGATATACTTGAGTCTATACATAGGAAATCCTGGAAACTCAGCAAAAATGGTACTGGATCTGATTTATTTAGGAAAATAGCAGGGCAAAAAATCAGCATATAGAAATCAGTCTTATTTCACTGGAGTAACAAAGAACATTGAAAAAGATAACGATGCCTTTTAAAGTTTTGTTGTTGTTGTGTGTCATCAAGTTGCCTTTGACTCATAGCAACCCTATGTACAACAGCTCTGAA